CTAAGGCAGTGTAATCTTTGTGCATAGAACAATCCCAGAATGCATTGCTACAAGCTAAGTGAATAAAGTATGAGAAATTGTGGGATTGTTTTAACAAATTTAATTCACCCATGAAAAGTGTTGATAAAAATAGTTCAGTGTAATTAAAAATTGATTTGTATTATCTTAGGAATTTCAATTGCGTTTAAACTGCGAGTTGCTGCTTAGGGAGAAACAGAGTTCCCACCATCCTAGAAAGCCATGGAAGTTGATCAAATCATGGAAAAGTTCTGTGATATAGACCATTTCACAAGATGTAAACAACACTGGTCCAGAAGCACTTCCTGTTTCAGTTTTTTAACACTACATAAAAGCTGGGATAAAATACAACCAACAGAACATTTAAAACTGAATCAAAAAGTTAAACAAACATCTTTAAGATGTTTTCTTTACATGTGAAATAAAGAAAACAGTTACAAACTGAAACAGGAAGTGCTTCTGGACCAGTGTTGTTTACATCTTGTGAAATGGTCTATATATATATACTCTCAAAGTATTTCTTTACCTAAAAGAAATCTCTAAAAATATTTTCAAAAAGACTGGAAAAGTGAAAATTCATTAGTCAGAAAGTGTAAGAACACAGGAGAGTGTTTATAAGCGTTCACTTATAAGGTTTTACCACGATGGTCAGGATGTCGCACCTTTACACCAGGACAGGCCGTTTACACAACGCCATTTTCAAAAAAAAAACGAACACTTTTTATTTGTATAATTTTTGATGGGTTTCAAAATGCATGTTTCTGAAAACCATACCGCTATCATCTCCAATTAAACTACAAATGTGTAAGAACTGTGATGAATTGCGTGTTTAGTCTATAGGTGCGATTGTGTTTCTTTACAAATTGACATCGCCATCTACTGGCCTGGCATCAGAATACAACACGTTTAGTCGTTTTTGTAGATCCGTGTGAATGGGGACTGTTTTAACAAAGTTGTCCTCTTTTTGTGAAAAACACAAAGGAAGAACATTTCTGTTTTTAGTATTTAGTATGTGTAAATGTACCCTTAGAAGGCAGCTGCCGTGTAGGCTGTAGTCAGAAAGGTTTTGGAATAGAGCGCTTGTGTATGCACTTGACGTAAAAAGGACTTACTTTACTGACCTGTGAATGACACTTCATATTTCTGCTCCATCTATTTCTCCCCAATTTTTGCATGCATTTTATCTTTCCACTCAAAGTGCGTCATCTTACCATCAGCAAAAAAGGCCTGACAGCCTTTTCTCCCCAGCCTTACGTTTAAAGATTTATGGCGAAACTGGACTGATATCATTTGGCCAAGAGAGGTTTTGCATGCAGACACACTCACTGATTTGACCCAGACTGTTCTCTTACTTTAAATAGACTTACTTTAAAAGACATTAACCACACTGCAGTTCTAGTCCAACTATTTGATTAGTTCTGAGTGATTAATCTATGACAGGCTTTCTCACCAGAGAAAAGTTTTTATAGTTCCTATACTTATGGACGAAAATACCAGTTGTTTTGGAGTGTTCACACTGCAGGAACTGGGATCGATTTTACTTATAGGAATACCTTTTGGGGGGACTTAATTAGCTGCTACTTTATAGAAGGGTCTAATGGCGCTTTTCCACTGCTGGTTCGGCGCGGCGCGGCATGGTTCGTCTCGCTTTGCTTTTCCACTGCGTGGTACGACTCGGCACGGCACGGCTCGGCTCGCTTTAGCTCGGTTGCTTCTCCACTGCAGTTAGTACCACTTTAAAGTGGGTGGGATTAGTTTAAAAGCACTCGCTACAGCGGTGGCTGTGACTGGCTATTTAACTTCTTTTCCAATATTTAAAAGTCATTTAGCTCATCATCTTCAGAATACATGCAATTGCTTTTGATTAGCATTATTTTATTTTATTATATTTATTTCTCACTGTAACTTATTTTTTTGGCATGGTACATATATATATTTTTTGTCTGTATATGAGTTTACTTGTGTTTTGATGTTGTCTTGGCACAAATGATATGGTTTACTCTGTTTAGGGAGGAGTGTGTCATCTTTTGGGAGTCTTGTGTAAATGAATGTCTTGTTTGGTTTTGGCTTATATATTTAGCTATATAGTACTACTGTAAAGCATGTTTTTTTTTGTTTTGTTTGTTTGTTTTTCTTGTGTATTTGTTATTTGTTTTTTGGTTTTGTTTTTTGCTATTTGTTATGTTAAATTCCAGCTGCTGTAAGGTCAATTTTTTATTTGAATCTAGAATCAAGGACCCCCTCGAAAACGAGATGGCTCATCTCAAGGGGCTATTCCTCTTTAATAAAAATGTCAAATAAATCTAGCGGGTTTGGTTTCTCGCGTCGCAAATACAATGACTCTGGTAGTGACGATTCTGTCTGACCAATCAGTGATCTGCAGTGTTTCACATCACATTTTAGTACCGGTTCGGTACGCTTGGAACCTCAACAGACCAGGTACCACTTAAAGCGAGCCGTACCATACCATGCAGTGGAAAAGCGCCAAAACCCAGCACAACAGGAACTACCAGTGACAAACACATGATTGGTCAAACACATGCTATACGAAACACCGTCATTTGCCATTTTTTAAAGCATTTTTTAAAACACAGTTTATATATTTACTCCACTGACGTGGAAAACTGTGATAGATGGACCGACACCTGGGCACTTCTTTCATCCTCCAGTTGCTGACGTTGTTAAATGTCGTGCTTAAATGATGTCACTCTCGGTCGGCACTTCAGAGTTACCGCTGGTGCGAATGCAGCCGGGAAAATTTAGTTCTCTGTGGAGTGGACTGCCCTGGTGGCTAGTTCCTATAACCGAGTTCCTGTATCTACCCGGGCCAAAAGCCCTTTTTGACTTGGCAACAACTTATCGACATACACTTGCAGCACTCAGAACACCTTATAGCAACATTTTTAATTTGTTTTATAAAATCCTGAAACCTAGTTTGCAAAGTATTTATTTTTTTCCCACTTTTGTGCTGGTGTGGCATCATGGGAGTAAAGGCATGAAAGCAAACAGCTGTTTCTGCTTCTTACCTTGACAAATGAAAAAAACATCCGATAATAACTGATAAATACCCTGATGGTTTGGTACATCACTGGCTCTGCCGTGTCACATTTTAAGGAATTACACGTGTACGTCTGATCTTCTGGCTTGAAATAATCTTCATTAAACTGAGCCAGAGTTTTTGAATTTCATGATTGAATCATGCTTAAAGCAGTTTTCAAAGTGTTTCCCTTTCTGTGTTCACATGCAACCCTCTCTCTCTCTCTCTCTCTCTCATTCATTCCGTCTGTTTATTAATCTCCCTCTACTTAGTTAGAAAAGCTGTTTGGGACACCAATAATGAGTACTTTCTCAATCCAGTGTAATTGAGACGTCCGTGTAAAGATGGAAATGAATATTTAAATAGCACCATCAATATGCAAAGGCCATTTTAAATGTTTTAAGATTAGAGATGTGAATTAATCAGACTGCGTCAATGTGCCTTCGGATGTTTGATCATAAATGTTTAGACTCTGATGATAGAAGTGATTTGAATATTAATCAGTTGAAATCAAATGAAAATAGCATTTGCTTTCCCATGAGCCCCTTCTTTCCTCTTGACCTTCTTAAGATGATGGAACCCAGGGCTGATCTAGATAGCTCCTCAAAGGGTCTGTGTGTGTGTGTGTGTGTGTTTGTTTGCAGTGCAGGACACTGATGCGTCAGCCAGCTATAAAAGTAAATGTTTCAAGCGACTGCTCTCTATAAATGACAAAATCCACGTAGAGGCAAGGGAAGCTTTATGTGTAACACACACACACTCAGAGTCTTTCAACATAGTCGCACACATGAATGTGCAAATCCGCCACAGCAGAGGAAGATGGATCTGGGGACAGATTGTTAGTGACATGTTAATTTCTATACCGTCACTCAAGCTTGGTGCATCTGCAATCAAAGTGATGGGGCATAGGCAAAACCATCAACCCCCCTCTCTGTCCTTACACACAGTCTCCCTCTACCTGTTCTCTGCCTGCCTTTCTGATCTTTACTTATTTCTCTCACACACACACACACAAATATAAATGGTAACACTTAAGTTTAGAGTCCAATTGACATGATATTGGCTGTTTATTACATATTAAGCACATATCAATGCCTTATTCTGCATGAAGATATTCTTCTGTACATCCCCACAATACCTAAATTTAACAATTACCTTACTAACTATTAATAAGCGCTAATTAGAAGTTTGAGTCTAAAGACATAGTTAAGAGTTAGTTCATAATGAGAATTGAACCCTAATCTAAAGTGATATATTTATATGTGACCATATTATATGCATACAGGCATAAAAAATATGAATCACTATTCAATATTAAATGATTCGAACTGTTTAATAATTAATTCATTTAAATAAAATGTATTAATTAATCAGATTGAAACATTGTTGACGGCCTACTTTGTTTTGTTTAAATGACTTTAAGACCAAGGAGAAGCGTCTGCCAATCAAGTGCATTGGCAGTGAACTGATCAAATGCACAAATGGTAATCCTCTATGTGAAGCGCCCACTTACCAGCCTTTTCGATCGTTTTGGACTACTAGCCGAACGTTACATCACCTAATTAATATTCATGAGCTGAGCTTTTCAAATCGTCCTCACGCCCATGCTTTTTTGGACAGTCAACAGCAGAGAGATGAGGACATAATCTTATCCGGCCTCGTACCTGTAACTCCCACCACAGCTTCTTTTTCACTTCTATTTAAACTTTTGTCATTTTGTAAAAGATGTGACAGTCATTTCAAAGAGATTTGGGGATTCTTCATCATAAACCTAAGATATCGCACAGATACATTCACTACAGATCCAAATGGAAATGTCATGTTGTCTTAATCAGTGGTTGGGCAGTCTGGGTAAAAGATCAGTGAAGCACAAGTGAAGATATTGGAAGTAATGGTCATGGCCACATCAGCTTTAACTGTGTTTCTTCTTTATTTATATGTTCAGGCAGCCCTGGTACTACGGCTGGGGTTTTAATCTACCACGTGGACAAGCTCTGCTGGAGAAGTGGAATCAGATCCCAGATTCCACGGATATTCTTCTCACACACTGCCCTCCTCTGGGTAAGACCTAAATCACACACAAATACACACGCACAAAAGCATGCGGTGATGGTTATTTCCCATTATGTTGTCTTCATCCTTGCGCACACACAAGTCTTTTGCTTTGAGGCTTTGGCAGATGGAGTTGCTACAGCAGGCTGCTAAAGCATGCAACGCTGAGACGCTGTTCACAGTGCAGCAAATCCCTTCGCACATAAGAAAACCCTCACACACACACAGTCATATGTACGGAGAGTGGAAGTTTGTGCATAAAGACAGCTGCGGTTTAAAACAATAAGCTTTTGGGCTTTGCGATTGTGACAATGTGTAATTCTCATGGTAAAGACGTGTCTCACTATACATTCGTGCAGATGTGGGCGTTTATCATTAGCCTCAAATGAGGTCTCTGAAGACTCACGGTAAGTCTGTGCGTTATGTATGTAGAGACGTCACACTACATGTGTAAAGTCAAGTTTGTGGTCTTTAATGATCACCTCGGATCCAGTCAATTCGTACATAGTTTGAAACTTACTTCGTGACCAGTTGCTTCGCTTCACCGCTGTTCACAAATCCTCTCCCGTGGCCTCGTGGGATAGTAAAGTGTCCATTAAATGCGTACTTCAGAGTTTCGGCTGAAGTTGTAGATCATACTATGAATTTGGACATACCACTCTGTTTTTCACATAGTAGGAATGTATTAAATTTCGGACGCAGCATCAGCCTCTTCACAAAAATGTATTTTTGTTTGCATATAAAAACAATACAGATGGACATAAGAATGTGCCCTTTATTGAAGTCAAAAACTTAAAGAAGTCATTGTGCTCTGTAGGTTTGGAAATCAAAATCCAGGATGTGTATTTACTAATCCTACTATGGCTAAGGCTTAGCTCATGAATATTAATCAGTTCTGTAACCTTTCTAGAGCATCCAGTCACATCATCTAATTAAAATTCAGTGAGTCAAGACTTTACCCCTGGTACAGTTCTTAAATTAGCACCTCACATCTCAAATTTCTTCTTCAAAATGAATAAAACATCATTAAGCAACCCAAACCGCTAAGTTGAATCAGAACCACAGTTGTTAAGTTCGATTTGATTCCCTACACTGTAAACAAAATATTGATTTGGTTTAACTTAAAGTAAGTAACCTGGTTGCCTTAAAAGTTCATTGAACTGGAAAAAGTGAGTTAATACAATGAAGGAGATTGATTTAATCATTAGAAACTCAAAATTATATGTTATCTGAACTAAATAAATTATTTAAGTTGATTTGACAAAAGAAAAAATGTTGTGATTACTAAACTGTAAAAAAATATTGTTGGTTTAACTTAAAAAAGTAAGTAACCTGGGTTGCTTTTAAAATTTTAAGTTGATTGAACTGGAAATAGTGAGTTAATACAATGAAGGAGATTCATTTAATCATCAGAAACTCAAAATAATAAGTTATCTCAACTAAATAAATTATTATAAAGTTGATTTGACCAAAGAAAATATGTTGTGATAACAAATCTTGAAAATATATTTTTACAGTGGGTTACATCTCTGAAATTTGTCCTGCTTTAACTCCAAAAAGCTTAAATGAAACAAATCTGTGATTTTTCTTTGACTTGTGATCTTCATATTAGTAATTATACTCCTTTTTTGTAGGTTTCTTGGACTGGGTGCCCAGGAAGATGCAGCGTGTTGGCTGTATGGAGCTATTGAACACCGTCCAGAGGAGAGTTCAGCCCAAACTGCATGTATTTGGACACATTCATGAAGGTAATCACATCACATGATGATGTTCCCAACTGTCTATAAATCGCATGCATGAAAATCCACACGGCCCTGTGATCTTGTTCATGCTGCCACGTCAATCCACCCTGCTTTGGGGTTAGCAAGGCAGAGTCTGTCCCATGCTGCTCTGCCTTCTGACAGCTCTATAGCAAGAACTAGTTCACATTCATATTCATAATAAATAGAGGAAACAATCTCAAAGAGTGCAATGTGGTTGCATTATACATTTGTGTAAGCTTGTGCGTTGTGCATGTACAGTATGTGTTTGACTCTGCCATATTTCTGTGCCATAACATAAAAATGACAGCTGTTTACTTATTTTTTGTCTTAATGGTTAAAATCTTAAAAGTATTCATCCCTCACACACACTGCATGGTTATTCGTACTTACCACCAACACTTTCATCCTGGTTTTTGATTTTATTAAAATCGTTTTTCACCCGTTTACCTGTATTTAAACGTATATTTTCTCTACAACATCACGTTTTTCAACTCCAGCAATGGTAATATCTCTGTCCTTTATGTTTGTGTGAGCTAGGTTACGGTATGATGACAGACGGAACCACCACGTTTGTTAACGCCTCTGCGTGCACGGTGAACTTCCAGCCTATGAACGCGCCCATCGTTTTCGACTTGCCCAATCCCAGGAGCTCATGATTGAACCGAGACCGGCCCATCGCCGCCTCCTTTCATTCAGGGCCCCTTTCTTGAGCGTATACAGATGCTGCGTAGTGTATATAGAGCGAGCGAGAGACGCCGATCTGGATATTCTCAAGGATATTTCCACCCATTTTTGTGCCGTGTGCCACCCTCAGACATAAAAGAGTGGCATTCTGCCTCACTGACAGACATTTGAAGTCTTTTTCTGAACTTGACTCTTGTGTTGCACTTGAATCGGCGTGACAATCGCATGTACTTCTGGTCATGGAAGCCAAGCTTTCTCCTCATTTGGCTGGCACTTATTTAAGGAACATTGTAACCTTGTAGCCTCAATGGACCTCTGACTCGGGGGAGAGAATCTTTTTTTCTTTTGCTCTGGATCCACTCTTGAAAGTTACAGAGGAAACAGTGCTATGGTGCAAACAAGTTTGTTCAGGGTCTTTACCATTTCTTTCTCTCTTTATCCGAGTCTTAGTCTCCTACTATTTTCCTAACTGCTCTGTTATTTGTTGCTCTTTTGAACCTGGGGCCATACACTGGAAGAGATCAATTTGCCCTAAACAGGAATGTGATGTTTAAAAATAGTGATTGGGGAGGGTGGGGTAACAAAAAAAAATGTGTCCGAATATTTTCCTGTGTTCTCCACTTTTTATACTCCTCCTTTATTGTTCGATTTACTGTAAACGTGTAAAACTGTGAGTGTGTTTTCAAGCAAACGGTCCTTTACTAAAGCAGTGTGGACTTTTACAGTAGTTTGAAGTGTTTAAGGTCAAATATTTAAAAGTTCTTCTAAAGCGTGCCGTAAATGTCCCCCCTCTGAATATCAAAGACTCGTCATGCGCGCAAAGTGCGCTTTTGCATAACAAGAATACATTGCACTTTGATCCACATGCTCCCCGCTATAATTTATTAACATTCCTCCTGGCGATAATTTATTCCCATGTGTTTTTACAGCTCTTCAGTATTAACTGTGTGTGGCATTAGGCCTTATATGACTCTTCTGTGAGATGTGCAGAGGGTTTTCATCTCTTCCATATTTGGATGAATAAAAAGCTAATCGAACAAATTATCACTCTGCGTGCGTGTGTGTGTGTGTGTGTGCGCGTCTGTGCATTGATACGCGATCAATTGCTCCTCTTTCATAGCCCAGGGAAAAAAAGCATCAGAGGACGAAGAGATCGAAGGGATAAAAAGAAAAATATTGGACTTGGAAAGGAAGGATGAGCTGATGCCTGGGAGATGGATTCTCATCTTTCTTGCTGTTTGTACACTTGTTTGCATTCGGTCAGAGGTGCTTCACTGTCATGTGGCTTTCCTCTTGTTTTTTCTCTCCATTCATTCGTGCCCGTATGTGGGCCTTTCTTTTGAAGACGTTGTCATCGGTTTACTGCTGTGCTCCAGTTAATTTTTTTCCCAGCATGCTGATCTGAATTTCCAAACAGATTTTGTGGATTGTTTGTTAATTACTTGTGTTGTGCTAAAGATAACATTTTTCTTTATTTGAGAGATTTTTTTGTTTTGGTTAGTTAATTTTATGCCATCTAAAGAGTTATGGTGTTGAATAAATTCTAGGAGAGAGGAATTTCACTGTCGAAACTGCTTTTTGTTCTGGAAATGATCATTTATGGGATGCACTTAGGTAAATATCTGCACACTGATATTAATGGTCCAAAATTGTATTGAACATCCTTAACGTTTCAAACTCAACATGTCTCAATGGCTTCATTTCACATTGAAGACATAATGACATCATCAGAGTACCTCCACATGAAGTAACATGATTTATAAATGTTTATTTATATTAACATTATTTCATACCTTAAAAAATCATCATATTATGTTACATAGTCAGAAATACGCAAATTAAGAATATAAAAATTTTGTCCAATGGCTGATAACTGATAAATATTACAATTCTGTACTCTTTTGTCTATATAAATTAAAATAAAATTCTTACAATCATTTTAATAAGTGGATTTAGGCACCACAATATAGTAATACAGTATGAAAAATATAAGTTAATTTTAAGATTTACTATAGAACAGTGTTAGTTTTATAAGATTAATTTTACCTTCGCTGACATCTGACACTTAATAAAAATGTCAAAATATGAAAAAAAAAATCAAAATTAAATATTCAATATCAACTGGTACAGATAAATGAAAATATCTCTAATATCAGTTGTTAATCAGTATATGGTACATAACTACACAAAATTAAAAACAAGTGTACACATGTGACTTCCTGTGGGCAGGTAATCTGATGATGTCATCATTACCTGTTGGTCTGAATACCTTTTTTTTTTTTTTCCTGATGATGATCTAGACTAGAGGTAAAGCACAGTGTTCACAGTGTTTTAAGTTGGAGCGTTAATGTATATATATCCCATATAACATGCTATTTTTTCAGTTTTGTAAATTGTGATCATGTGCACACTTTTTTTGTGTAGTTTCTTCAAAGATGATTTACACAAATTTCAGATGTGTCACGACCACCATGATATATCCCATTCTCTCCATCAATCTCTCGTCGTGCCTCTTAAATTAAAACTCACCCCCATCAATCGGTTATGTCCTCATTTTTCTTCAATCTCTCTTTTGTTTCATCTCGGCCTTTTTCTCTAGCTGTGTGTGAGACGAGTAGATTCCCATTATTAATGTTTTTTTGTCTGAATCAAAGGACTGTGAATTTCATATCAATTATCTGCACGTGTCTAAAACTTAATTCATGTTGGTTAAAATTGTCCGCACTCTTGTATCATTTCGGCCTTCCTTCTTCCACACCTCTGCACATCCTAATGAAATCCCTCATTCAAATAATCACATGAGTAATCCTGCGGGATGGAAGGTAATTTATTCCGCGCTGGCTTTTACTATGCCATTAAAGACTCTGTTCTCTGTTATCCTTCCCATCTCTGGCCACTTTTTACCTACATATTCCCTATTACTCTCCTTATGTGTCCACCTCTATTTTCTTAGATCTTTTTGTGCCATCTACTCCTGTGAATCCTCTTTAGTACGCATCATCAACATCTGTCTCTCTGTCGACTTGTGTGCTTTACACAGCAATGTCCTCTCTCTCTCTCTGTGTCTCTTATAAACTCACAAATACATCTTCGACATCTTCTTGTCAGCCGTTTCAAGCTCTTAAAGCTGAATAAAAGGCCTGGTGTACTGCATTTTAACGCTGTTAAACGTCCCGGGGTGTGCCGTCTGGCTCACTCTAAAACTACTTGATGCCAGTCGAAGGAATACGAGTGGAAATAATGCGTATGCAACTGCCGCTGGAGAAAAGAAAACACGAAACAATTAGCCGCAACAATGCATGCTGATTACTGTCATATGCTGCTTATTTATGAACAATGTTTGTTGTGACAAAGATGTTTAAATTTCATCGCCTTTGAATTACCCATATCCTGAAGGAGAAATTGGTTGACTTATTCTATGAAGAAACCTTTTAAAATTTGGGAACTTAGTGCTGTTATTTGCTACGGTGTCATCCTTAATGACTACATGTCCTCCGGGGCGAATATCTTTAGCCCTGAGTCATATTCTCTATTAAGTAGTTGCTGGAGAATGTGCTTTAAATGGCCTTTTACATACTGTTTAATGCATATGGTCAAACACATTGGATGTTACATGGGCGTAAATATATACCTTCTGTCCTTATGCATTCATAAGTTCATGGACGCATTATGCGTAATTTTTAATCTATATAATTCTTTACCGCTCAACATATTCTTATTGCTTCAAACAAATGCGACCATCTTTCCCTTGAAGTAAGACTGACTCTAGTAGACTATCCGGTGTGTAATGAATATTTATTGATGTATATTTAATATTTAGATCCAGCAATACGATGGATCATAAATGTAATTGAAAATGAAGTATGCGGCTCCTCTCTGAAGTTATGGATTCCAATAGTTGCATTAAACCTGAATCACACAAAGTGAGAGAGATGAAAAACTACTGCTTTGATCTCAGCTGGATTGGGTTAAACATTAAAAATAAAAGTCTCAGTACGGGCTTAAAACATTTTTATCTATTTATGACCATCGTTTTAAGGCTTCAATGAGTACAATTTATGAAATAAGTTAATACTTTTTACTTATCAAGGACAGGGGTATCACAGATTCCACCAAAAATATGAAGCAGCATAACTGTTAATGTGAAATGATTGAGAATTTTACAATAAATTGCATTTTAATATGTATTAGAAAAATATTTTTTACAATATTACTGATTTTACTATTTTCAAATCAAACTTGATGAGCAAAATGCATTTCTTTGAAAAATCTTACCGACCTTAAACTTTTGAATGTTACCCTATATTAAAAACTTTTATAACCTACATAAAGAACTATATAACTCAAGAAGTAGAATGTATTGTTTGCAAGGTCAAGACGCATTGTCCTATTGCTGGCTTCATTAACATATGAAACATAACGCCTCAGGGGGCATTAATACAGACAAAGAACAATAGTAGCCATCTTATTGCATGCAGAATACGAATGGCCTAGTTCTTGATATAGATAAGCCTTGCAATTTACATCAGTGTTAAGTCATTTGCTCATAAGGCAGCACGAATAGTCTAAGAATCGCTAAGATGCCAGATTTAGGTTGGGTTGCCAGGTTTAGCCTCCCTCCCACTTTTAGCATGGCTTAGGGCGTGTAGGACTCACTCCGTAGGGAGTCATGCAAAACCAGAACACCCCCTCGCTCTTTTGTTCTGCGATGGTTCTTTCTCCATGCCAAAAATGACGAAAACTCCCATTTCTGTCATCAGCAAAGTGTCGGAACAGAGCCTAGGGGTGGGAGGTCCCTGCTGAGTTCTTACCCAATCTGGTGCCCGCTCTCTTCTTACCAACATGCAGGGCATTTGTACCATTATACTAATGCTGTTTTGATGATGTCCAAAGTGTCCTGTACCAAAACCGTCTCTTCACCTCTTGATCTTGGATGCATGTCCTATCATGTCCTCTGTTTGAGTCTGTGGCATTGCATTTTTTTAGCATTACATGCCCTTTATGTTCGGAGGACCCAAATGTGAAACAAAGCAGAATGTAATGAACATGGAGCTGAATGTTTAAATACTTCCTTTTAAATACTCACGAGATGAATACAACAAATTCATATTCACTGCATGCATTTCCTGACAGGTTTTGCTGGTCAGAATCAAACTCTGCCTTTAAAGTCATTGTTCATTCCTCTTCTCAAACTTTGTTTTCACTGACTCACTGTCTCTTTATAATGCTTTTGACAACGGATGTAAAGTAGGAGACAGTTTGACTTTATTGAAAAGAATGAAAATATATATATACACTCTAAAAAAATGCTGGGTTGTTTCATCCCAAATTTGGGTGAAATATGGACAAACCCAAATGTTGGGTTAATTTATTTTTTTAAATTTACAGTTGAAAGTGAAAGCTGAAGTTGGGTTAAAATTTTAACTTACATTTTTAACCCAGCATTTGGGTTTGTCCGTATTTGACAAACAATATTTCAAACAACCCAGCATTGTTTAGATTGTGTATATATATATATATATATATATATATGGACTATTCAAAATCCTCTGGGGTCCTTCAACTAAGTGACAATATGAATTGTTCATAATTGATTAATCATATTCTGTGTCCTGGTCTGCTAAGTCGCATGCTTCTTGTAACAGGGCGACCAATGACATCATGCGTGTGGGACAGGGTCATAATAATGATTAGTTAGTTCGACATCTTACAACATTGATTATACAACTCAATACCTGTTACAGAAACACCTTGAAAACAGATGCCTTGTAAGTAAAAGTGTCTCTGCATTATTTACTTTCTAAAACGGTATCTGTCTCTCTAAAGTGCAGGTAAATGGACTTCTCATTTCATGTAGCACAACTAAAACTTCATAGCAAAATCCATTCTCAACATCTGGAAGGGCTCTGCAATATGCACAAATAGTGCTGTGAGTGATAATTATTCAGAAACATATGCACAAATAATTAACTCGATCCAACTTCTATCGCTCACTAGACAGCAATGGCCAATATAGTTTAATTATTACAGCTCTGTGATGTTATGAAAATGAACACATGGCTCCTGTTGAAGATTCCTCTAAGGTTTATGCTTTCTAGTCTTAAAGAAGAGAAAATCTGGTCCTATCAACTGATCTATTCTTGAGATTAAGACAATCGTTGTGAGCTTTGAGCTAAGCTCAATTGGTCATCAATTAACAGTCAGAGTCTTTGTAGACTGTTAGGGTTAGTAGAATAAGTTGACATGTACTTGCAAAGTTACTTATCAGTCGAATGTCTGTTGGCGGACCATCACAATAAAGAGTTAGCAGATATTAAGCAGACAGTACTAATACTCTAATAAGAGTTTGTTGACAAAGTTACTTATAGTTAGTAAAATGTCTAAAGTGGACTATTGAAATAGTGTTAACAAACCTGTTTTACCTATAGAATAATCTTGCAACTTCATTTTCAAAGATGCTAATACTTGTTTGTATGTTGCATTTAAAATCCACTTGAAGATTTAATGTACATCATGATCAATAATGACATCAACTCTGCCGTATGATGTAATAAATA